CCCTTCTTACTCTCTCTCATCGGTCTCAATCGCTCTCTCCCTTTTCTTCGACAAAAACTGTGCACATCTTCGTGACGTTCCATAAAAAATTTTACTCTCACGCGCCTAAAGAAGTTTCACTTCAAAAATGTCTCATATAATATCTGTTTATTAAATATCAATCCTCATGCTTAACAAGAAATAATTAACTGAATCGAGTAGATTCCAACTATAAATCGCAATATAGTTAACAGGCCGTTGCCGTCACTTTGTTTTATATTACATGTCTTGTCACGCTACCGTATTCACATAAACCATATTCGAAAGTAATGATATTTTAAATGTTACCGTATTACTTACGAAGTTAAGATTAACTTTTCCATTATAAATTTCAACGTGGCACTTTAAGCTTTGCAATAATCGAAATTCTACAGTATTTCCTATAGGTGTCGTAAGCCAAGCTGACATAGGCTAGATCACGTATTGAACATTAGTTCAACAGTTTCTCTGCCAACTCTCTAATGGCGGAATTGGACGTGCTTGCGAGTTCCAGGCTTCCAATAATTATAATAAACCAATTCGAATATCGAACTCGAATTTCCTTTGGAAAAATGTCGCGATATATGGCAAAGTTTTTAACTAAAATTACTAAAACTATTATTTGTTATAACAAGAAAAATTAAACAGCCTTAAAGGTGACTTAATTAAAATTATATCACTTTGTTCGAAATACATAATTTTAGTTTAATAAAATGATGAGGATGATCCAAAATATTGGCCGATCGTCACAATGTTTTATAGTCACTGTTGAGTTTTACTCGGGTTATGTTAGACGCATTTTTATTCTGATTTATTCGTTTTTGTTAATTATATCTGTTAATAGTTACGTCCTTAATTTATAATTTTATAGTGAGTGTTTTGTAAACTATTGTGAGGCAAGGTCTAACCTCTCTTATTGTTCCAAAAACTAATACAATTACTCCAAATCCTAACGACTGACAATTGTTTGCCTTTCTTCTTAGTAGGTAAGGAGACATTGTCACGAGGTATGTCCTCAGGACTTATTATTTTAGTATAAGATTGTGTATCGACATAGCCACATAGTAAACAAAATAGATAATAAGCATGTAAAATTTAGAATTCATACAACAAGCTAAATTCATAATAATAATATGTTCCTTAGCTATACAATGTTATTAGGGAAACAGTACATTTTTCAAAGAAAAACCTTAAAAGTCATCACACCAGAAAGTTTATAACAAGAAATGTCGTTAATCAAAAACGTGAACAGTTCTCTGCAACTGTGTGATAATTCAGGCATGATTTTTTAATTAATGTATGCCTTTCATATTTCTACATACTCCTTTTAATATATCCAAAAAGAATACAATTATTTATCATTTACAACTATAAAAGTAGTTATCATAAAACAATCTATACTAGCCCACCTATTCTTCGCAGTTGAACACCAACGTCAAACATCGTATCTTTCTAATTATGTTGTGTATGAATATGAATAATATGTAATGTAGAGGGAGGGTAAAACTTGCTGAGTTTCTAGTCCGTTCTTCTCAGAACAAGGCCTCCTGGTAGTTTTGCGAACGGATGGCGTAGTCTTACTCTTTCGCGAATTTTGTAAACGTTTTTGACATTCATAAGCATGCCCTAAGACGCATCTAAACTGAATAAACGTATTTTTATTAATTGATTTGATTGATTTAGAGTTATTATATTTAGGGGATTTAAAACTAATATAAAAAAACAGTATGTGAAACAGATGAATGATGTTGAAGACTTAGGGTCCTTCAAGAAGAAAGCGTACCTATTTTTAAAAGGCAGGCAACTCGCTAGCCCTCTGGCATTGAGAGTGTCCATGGCCGGCGGTATCACTTAACATCAGATGAGTCTCCCGCACGTTTGCCCTCTGTTCTATTAGAATTTATGTAGTTATTACGTATTAACTAATCATTTGAATAAGTTCATCCATCCAAGCAAGCTAAGCCTGCCTCCACAGGCTTCCTCGTATCAGTCTGTAACAAGCACGTATTAGTTAGTTGAATAACACTACATTTTAGTTATATTCTAAATAAAACTATATATTTAGTTATATAATTATTATTATACAACATATTTTAATGAATAACCGTGTTACTCGTAATGTAAGAGGTAAGTGTAGCGGCAATAGCCAGCTACATACTTATTCTTCTCTTGACTAATTCGTTATAGCAATCTTATTAATTTTATTATGAGATATCGTAATCCAGATTTCAGAGAACGATTTTTTTGTTGAACAATGATTAAAGTGCTAAACTGTATAAAGTCATTGTTTTTCATAATGTTGTAATACTTTGGCAATTCTCATAAGACATAACACGATAAAGCAAGATAATAACAGCATAGAGTGGCCATTATTGGCACCTGCCCGGTCGGCGCTTTAGAGCCAATAAATTGTGTAAATTGCCGTTCGAGTGTGAGAATACTCAGATGTCGGCGAAAGAACATCTCCTTCACTTTTATGCACTTTAATTAAATATAATGCGTGTTTCTGCTATATAAGACTTAATAGTAATACATTGTGAAACTAATAGTAAAGTTATGCGGTGATACCTTTTAACCGAAATTTCTAATAGTAAAAGTACAAACAACAAACAGTGCATATGTGAAACAATTAAATATATCCCCAAAGGTTGAAGTGCAGTCTAATTTTCAACTGATATTTAAATTTGTAATCGTTTCAGTATTTCGAAATATTAGTTGCTGTAATAAACATGCAATAAGCGGTGTTCACCAAGTGGCTGGCATTTAACACTCGGTCTACGGTGAAGGAAAACATCCTGAGGAAAGCGGCATGCCATAGGCCCAAAAAGGCGTGTGTAGAGAAGGCTGATCACCAACTTGCCTATAAAGCTTAGGTTTCCTAGAAAAGCGGAGCCGTTAACTAACGGCCGTCATTTTACGGTTGTTAAGCTTAGGTTTCCTAGAAAAGCGGTGCCGTTAACTAACGGCCGTCATTTTACGGTTGTTAAGCTTAGGTTTCCTAGAAAAGCGGTGCCGTTAACTAACGGCCGTCTTTATTTTTTAACATAATGCAAAAAACAATAATTTTCACTCGTCCAAGTCACGTTTCCACTCATTGTATTAATTAAATATGGGCAGTGGGCACCGCTATACGCGAAAAACGTTGAACTAATGTTAATCACCGCTATGACGGTCGTCATCCAAATGACAGCACCGCTATTTGACATTACGGTGACACTCAACGTTCTCTAGGAAACCTACTCCGATGTTATTTATAGACAATGTATGAGTGACGTCACCCAACGCTACATTACGGCCGTTAGATAACGGCACCGCTTTTCTAGGAAACCTAAGCTTTAGAAAAAAAACTAACAGATACGGAAATCTGAGGCTCAGATGTAAAAGGTTGTAGAGCTATTACATCTTTTAATCAACCTAATACTACACCTAATACTACAACTATAATTGTACTAATTAAGGTAAGGTAAGTTAGTATAAAAAACCCCAAAAACATCTGAATATTTTTTTAACGTTTTAAAACATATTTTTAAAGCAACATACAAACATAGATGAGCTTCATAATAATCTTTACCTAGTTTTTATAACGAGTAAGTATATAACGATTTAATATAACCCTATTAAAATATCTTTAAATTTTTTAAAAACTTTATTATAATCTTTGGTTTTTACAACACATCTATAGACATAACTATTTCTTAATTTTAATATAAATAAATGGTAAAATACATCTATGATAACATTTATTGTATGTACATTTATATATTTAATACATATAATAGTTTTAATACTGTATTAAATGTTTAATTAATTATTTTCTTAAATAGTTACCATCGAAATAATAGTGGGTTTCGTTTGATTGCAATTGATAACAGTATATATCTCTTACAACACGAATTAATCGCGACAAGAAACGTCGTGATATAACGTCCATTTGTCCAATCACTGAAACGCACGGTTTTGTCTATCGTATTTTGTTTTTAATTCTGTTCTCTCAAGTTTTTTTAAATGATCACAATGGCAGAGAGCATTTTGATAATAGTTGATATGATATTTAACTACATAGTAAGTAGTTGTTAGTACAAGTGACTGTTTAACAGGTAATTATTGCTCTTTGCTAGTCGTAATATCAATTGAACACTGAATACATAACCAAAACTAAAAATATTTAAGATTTAATTTACATACTATACTATAAAGTATTAGAACCGCGGCGTTAATGCCATATTTTTGTCAAATATTCATACCAAAAATTATCGAATTTCCATATAATTTGTGTAGTTAAACGTATTCTATTCGAAAGATATGCTTCCGCTTAGTTTTAAATACGCCCATGGAGCTTCTAGAGCTTCAGATATTCAGGATTCAGAGATTTACATACAAAATTCTATCTATCTTATGCGATAGTTACTCAAAACTCTTTTACGAAATATATGCAATTTACATCCACGCTCTATATTATTGTTTGTCCTTACCATAGTTAATAAGCCTTAATAAAACGTAACGTCAACTATTACAATTAAAAAAATATAACGATAAAGACACATAGTCCTAATATTTACAATTACATACACATATATCATGAACATAATGTAGCACGAGTAACAACATGGAAATTATATGTGGTAATCATCGGCCTTCAGAGGCAATCAACAGTTATTATAACTAATATTTGATGAGGATATTTGTATAAAATATTTATAGATTTCAATAAAATACTCTTATATACATACGCTTATGCAGTAAGTAGTAACTAAAATTGAATCATTTTGTATTATTGCGTGTGGTAAGTTTATTTGTGTTGATTGATTTACTTTTTGTTTAGTGACAATTTATGATAGTGATATTTATTCTGTACCTGAAAGAAAGATGTTTAACGCAGCTTTATGTTAGGTCCGCATGGGAGTTTAAATAACTTATATTACTCGTTTTACAGATTTCACATTAAAAATAATTGTGTCGAAAATATAAACTTATTATAAAGATCACACGGCAGAATGTTTCCCCGTGACGACACCCGTGTTCTTATTATATTCAAACTCCTTGGGCCCATCACTTGATCGTCCAATTTCAGTGTTTTCTCTAAGAAGACCTTTTCTGTCCCTAAAATGAGAAACAGATTCTACTCAAGCAGCTTCATTGTAAAACATGGACTATAGATGGCAGCGGTTTTGTTACCGTGGTTACTGTTTTTTACAGGGAAAATAGGGAAGAAGGAAAAACATCGTTCAAACACGTAGCTAATATAATCAAAGCCATAATATGAAAATTGACAAATAATACTAGAGTTATAAGTATAAAATAGTCAATAATTTTGTCATATTCGCTTACTTTTAGTACAATGATGGACTTTAAATTAAAAACATCGGTTAGATCTATATTTTTTTTCCTCTGACCTCTTTACTAATATTTTCCATAACATAGAGAATAGGCACAACTTGGACATGAAGAGCTAACTTTAGAAAATAATGGAAGCAGCTGGAAGAGGCCTTGTTGTCACAGGACACGCTGATCACCATAGCATAGATTAAGTTAGGTTATGTAACTCAAACAAGTGTTTATATATATATTACACTGGGTGTCAGCAATAAACGCTCAATAATAATTAAGTTTTAATAAGGCTTAGTTACTAATTAAATAAGATTTACAGCAGCCTTTCAACCGTACTCTGAAATTGATTAAGAGTTATAGGTCACCATTTAGTGATTTCAGTTCAGTTCAGTGTGTTGGTGGAATAAGAAAAATCTTACCGTGCATTAATAGTCTCAGTTTTCTTATCCTTCTTGTGAATGCAACTTGCAATGACACCTTTCTTTTTCAGCACCAGAAGTAAGAAGTCTAAAAGAATTAGACCGAGGAATACCGCAACCAGGACGATTCCTAGTGTTGAGCCAGCTGTAAGTGCTCCCGGTTCTCGCTCTGAAGAATAACATTCTTCTTTCATTTCTTTGTAGACAATATCGTGCTTTAGTTATAAACGCATATCACTGGGAGGTTCTAGGTTCGATTATTTTGGGTTAGTAGGCATAGATGACAGATTATTGGTTCCCAATTCGTCGGAATATTTTGTATGTTGTTCCTTTGGTTAATTTTGAAGTTTCTTAAGTGCTTAACTTATTTTTTATAAGGAGAACGATTTGTCCAATACCGATGTCTTCCGGTAGAATTATACATATCTTAATATCCTAATAATCCTCGATTATGTATGATATTATATTAGTACCTGATATAACTACAATATTTATTACATTCCTCATGCACTGCATTTATCTAACGTCAGGATTTAAAAGAAATACAAGTAAAATAACAAAGAAAAGGAAATCGCATTAATATTTAAAGAAATGCAATGGTATTGTCCCGCAAACCTGTTGAGAATATTTTATGTTTGTAAGGTATTGTCTACTTAAGAATTACACTTTGAAAATTTATTATTTATTACATAAAAAAAATAACTCGTGCACTAGAGTTATCAAGGCACTTATTCAGTCTCAGTTCCGGGTTCGATTTATTATTGAGGATGAAAACAAATACAATAATGTATTGTTTTGTGTAAAAGTTTGATTTGCCCTCAGAAATTGAAATGAGCCTTGGTCATTCAATCTATATGTAAGTCAAATAAGGTATTCCAAATCGAATATTGTTATTCGCCTATGACAGAGAAGTCTCATTTATTGGAAGTAACCACTCCAAAGCAAACTTAGCAATTTACGATGGTGCATTTACAGTAATTAGAAAAAGTTTTGATTTTCGAACACATTCTGTAGACACATTTTTTTTAATTAAATTTTGTCAAACTGGATTGAGTGTCTAAAGGTCAGTACTTACATACGGTATTACTCGAAGTCGAGTAAAAATCAACGTGTGGACTGCAAAATTCACAGCTCGAAGGCTCGCACCGAGCCGGCTCAATGGAATTAAATGAAAGTAATTTCCTTCGAACCTACTCGAAGCGAGCCGTCAATCTTGACCTGAACGTGTGTACGTGACTGCGAGTGCCGCAGCGCGCCTCATTCGCTAGATCAATGCTCAATGTGTGGACGAAAGCCTATGCCAAGGGTTTTACTTGACAGTTTAGCTCGATCGAGTAATATCGTATGTGAGTACTTACCTTAAGAAACAATCGTGTTAAAAGGAAGGTATCTGAAAATGGTTATTTATTTATTTATTGAAGTTTACATAATACTATATCTGGATAGTTTACATAATACATAAAACTATATAGGAATTACCAGAAAGCAGCGAAATAGGTATGTGATAGGCATTTAACAATGCTTTCGGATAAATACTGCTTAATCCGTTTTCATCGGGAAGAATTACATTTATATATATCTAATAAATTACAATTACATTATTGTTAATAAAATTTGTGTATTTATATCAAATATAAATTGATAGGATAGTATAAAAATAGTTCGCATAAACATAATCAGAAACACACATTTACCTGGTAACGTGATGTATGTTGAAGCAATCGATGAATTTCCGAGAACATTGTGAGCGACCAGCTCGAAGTAATACGTCATATTTCCTTCTAAATTGTTTAAATAAAACTCATTTGTTGGGTCAATCGTTTCTTCTATGCATTCATTATTTTGAATTGCCAGATAAACCACCTAAAATAATTGCAGTCTAATGTTTATCCAAAGATTTAAAAAAAATATACATTTAAATAGAACACGTTTCTCTTTTAAAAAATTGTTACCAGTTACTAATATTAAAAACAAAATTTAAAAATCATCGTCTAATCGCTTATGTTGTAGATTCTTAAAAATAAATAAAAATATATTACCGGACAATAGCGAATAACGTAGTAATCAATTTGTTCGCCGTTATCTTCTCCAACTTTCCATTTAAGGATTCCATTCTTTATCGATTCTATATCTGTACTCCAAGTAGGTTCTTCGGGGCTCGATCTGAAACAATGCCTTATTATTAGTTCGAAACGTTCCTTAGACAGTGATAACGAAATTTTTATTATTATGTGAGCTTTAAATAATATATGTTATTGACGTAGCAAGCATCAGAAATGTTAAAGAAAGCGGCGGAAAGTTCTCGTATAAGAACGTCGGCGTAAAAGCGTTACTACCAACTGCACGTGACTGTATCTAAGTCCTCCATCTAGAAAGTCGCAACACGTCTAACGTCTGAAACTCGTTAAAAAAATTTAACTGATATGAACTAGAATTTATTACATTATAACTACTCAACGTTTTGAACGCTTTTAAGCAATTGAGCTCAGAGAGACTGCCACATCATTAAAACAGACGTTTAAATGTGTAGTAGGTGTTAAATCAAAGAAAATATTTCGAGACAGTTACTAAAAATCGTATAATTAATTAACTAATGTAACTTACTTTTCAAGTGTAACAAATTCGAGATAATTGCTCCAAGATCCAGCTCCCACATCATTGACAGCTGCGAATTTAATTAAATAACTACTATTCGGCTTCAACTTATTTATTTTGTACGGCCTATCGATTGACCACGTTCGGTTAATATGTATATCTGTGATATTATAATTGTTCAAAAGATCATATTCCGAAGTGAAGCCCACGACCGGCGGTCCATTAATTTGCTCTGGTCCTACGATAGCAAATATCACAGACGTTGAAGTAATATTCATTACTATCGCCTGAAAATAATGAATGTTGAAACATGACAAATAAAGTCTTATTCATGAACGCAATTGTTAAAATATACAATAATGCGAAACAAACTATTGTTTGCTTAGCTTCGCTCAAACGGCGAAGGAAAACATCGTGAGGAAACCGGGTTGCCTTAGACCCAAAAAGTCGACGGCGTTTGTCAGGATCAGGAGGCTGATCACTTACTTGCCTATTAGATGGACAAATGATCATGAAACTGATACATATTTAATAATATGACTTTTCTGTGACAAAATTGTTTAAAAGACTCTTAATCTATAAAGATTTAAACATAAATCTTAATTAGGTTTGTATTAGATGCTTTGAAAGCCTCAAGAATGTGATATTAGTTAGACACTATATAAACTGTACATTATGTAAAAATTGGTCTGTTTAAGCACACAATCATGATTCACGCCAATTGTAAGGGAATTTATGGCTTAAATGTCAAAACTGAAACGCTTAAATTTTTTTGTATGGAATCTCTCTGTTGGCCTTTTCAGCTCAGCTCAGGCTGTTTTAACAAACGTATGGGCTTGGGGTTTTTACCGCGAGTAGTGCAAGAATATCTCCTGCGAGACTTGGAACTCGGCTTGGGCCGTCGCGTTCCTCACGTAAAAGAGCGCGCCGGTGGACACAATGCGCGAAGATTTCGGTACCGTTGGTCATGCATGGTCGGATACAAGCCTTGTACAGGGTCACCTTGTGTCTAAGGGACATCTGTAGCCTTTTATTCAGTAGAAAGAAGAGGCGAGAGAGGACGAGGCCTTCTTGCAAACGGTGACTATGTGCTTACGGAAGTACATGCCGCTATCGTGACTCCTAGATATTTGTTTGTTAATTACGATACAAAAGATTCACATAGTATGTATAAACATTTCTCACATTTCTAATTGGTGGCGGAGCGTAGCCTTCTAAAAATACGACGACTTTCTTGGCTGTACCGTACTCGTTTTTGGCTATGCATTCATAAACCCCGTACATTGTGTCGTTTTCAAATATAACTGGTACATTATTATCGTTTAGTATAATCCTATTGATTTCCAATTGTTTTTCAGTTGATATATCTCGACTTTCGTATCTGAAATTGTAGAAAAAATCGATGAATGTATGGAGCATTGGAAAACTAAGTTTCATCATCGGACGTCAAGGCAGAATACGAAATTCCACCCGTATCACCTCGACGTCCGTCGTTCCACAACTGAGCGTTATTGCCGCGCACCGCCACTAAGTGGAATAAGCTGCCCACTGAAGTATTTCCGAACCAATTCGACTTAGGGTCCTTCAAGAAAAGAGGGTACCAATTCTTAAAACGCCGGCAACGCTCTTGAGAGCCCTCTGGTAAAGTGAGTGTCTATGGGCGGTGGTATCACTTATCATAAGGTGGGCCTCCTGTCCGTTTGTAACATTAAAAAAAAAACAAATTTGCCTTATTTTTATTAGTAGTTTATAGAGCTATGATAATAGCGTTTGATAATTATCAAACGTCGAGAAGTTCATTCATTTCAATTTCATGATATTTTGTTTTTATTAGCATTTTGGGTATAATAAAAAACGTACCTCCAAGTTATATTAGCCGGGGGATTACTCTCCTGATCGCAGGTTAGGTTAACTGCATTTCCATTCCAACCCCAGACATTCTCAATCGGTTCTTTGAACACCGGTTTGTAAAATACAGTTAAATACATTTCAGCGGTTACTGAGTCCGCTGGAACAATTATAAACATAACTGTAGTAACTTGATGAATGACTAGCCCCTACTTATGTGTCTGGATATGTTAAATGAATGACTTGAAGTAATTATATATTTACGATAAGATCGACGATTAAGTTTTGAGTTAATCGACCGACTTCAAAATTTTGTTTCTATGCAGTATGCTACATCACTTGCTCACACCCACCCCCAAATAACGGGAAAACAAGATGTTTTGGGGGGTAATGATAGGTACATTTATTTAGGGGGATTTTAGAGGGTACTTTATTCGAAAAATTTATCTGTTTTTTTCTTAAAACCGTACGATTCAATACAATTTAGATTAGGCCTAGTTAGTAGGTACCTAACCGACAAACTAAACCAAATATAAACTCTAAGCGTGGTTATAACTGAAATATCAAAAAGAATAATCCAAGATGGAAATTGTATACTACTTGATTGTATTTTGATGCATATTTGTAATTACCACTCGAACCGAGTCTACAACAAAAACTTTAGGGGGTTTCAATCGATATTAAAGGATTTTTGAAGTTGGTTTTAGGGGGAACATTCTGTAGAAGTTGGCATCACTGCCTACAGAGAACGCGGGTCAGTACTGATTGAGGATTCAGTGGAGCATGGTGGTATTGAGGGGGTTGGACCGAATTGGGTTTAGTAGATTGTGATTAAAAGCGAGATCAGTGCCCTGAAGTCGCTGCTATAATTTAAGCTAAAGTGTTATTGGTAATGTAAATAAGAAACAATCTAAATTAAATTTTGTATGATAATAATTCTTGTCTTTTGTGCTCGCACATTACTCACAAGACATGTCAATATCGATGGATATATTTACAAAATATTTTAGAAAATGAAATATCCAGTCGTGCGAATCCGGGAAAGTCCGCTAGTATAAATTTAAGTAAAATTCATTAATTTAAGGCAGCAAGGAGATCAAGCTTCTCTCCGTAACAATACAAAAACATTTCCATTCATATAATGGAGTTCGCGATTTCACAGTAATGTACCACAACCGTTAACCACTAGGTTAAAATTGTATTAATTACATATAGTGACATATACAACTCTATTATAGACTCAAGATTTGGGCATAAGTAGTTTAATACTTCTACTTACCATCATTTGTTGCATTACAAATGTAGCTCCCCTCGTGACTTCTATTAACTCTTAGAAAAGATAAATACATCTCTGTTTCAGTATCACTTATAACTTTGCTGTCCCAAACTATACTGGAAGAAACATACATTTATGACAATTTAAGTAATAATTTGCTCCTTCGACCACGGCTTCTTCTAATTTGGACTGCCCATAGGAGTATTATAATGTACAAGTGTATGCGCACAAAGACAGGTACACTTTCTATTGTGGAATGGAAAGATGAGGAACTATCCGAAGCGATGGGTCTTCAGCCCAAATTCAGAACCCACAGATTTATAATACGTGGTCCTCAGATAATTGTTAGTCAGCATAAAAATTGAATTGATGCAATTTAAAGATTTCTTAAAATTGAAATGGCTATAATACATAGAGAAAGCTGTTTTTTTTTATAATCGTGGAAGAAATATTATTTGAGCATTCCCTCGCTCCCTCAACAAAAATATATAATAATCACTTGCAACGCCTCATATCCTAGTAGCTCAATGCCTAGGTTACGCATTCTAGTTGGGCCTCCAAGGCTTTGCCTAACCTCCAAAATGCGTTACGCGCTAGGAGAGGAGCATTCCTTCTCCTACGTTGTCTTCCACATCCAGCTCGAATCCAGTTAGTGAAGAAACGCAACTCAGACTACTTCACTGACATAACTTAGAGACACACGACATATCTAAATTTTGAGCAATAAATTAAATTTACCTTAAATCGTCAGATTCACCGAAAAAGGCAACATTTATTTTCGGAACAGGAATCCCTTCCGCTCGGCATACAACTTGTACGGTGCCATTTTCCACAGCCGCTGCATTTTTAAACTGCGTTATTTTTGGTGGAACTAAGACCTGTTAAATTATAATTTATAATATGTCCTTCAGTAGTGGTTAGGGCATTGTAATTTGTACATTTAAATAAAACAGAGAATGCCTTTTCTGTATTTTTAATGCTATGTTTCAAAGCGTTGTTATCAAATACGAGTAAGTATTCATCACATTCTGATTTTAAATCACATTCTTTTTTAAATAAATCGTTCGTGCGATTTATGAGTACTGTTGGAAAGTTGGAAACAGGTGAAAATCGTAGTTAAAAATATCTAATCGAACAGACGGCGGAAACTGAAATTATTTATACTATTTTAGGGTAAGTGAAATCCTCAATGTTTTAAGAATATTTACTGTCACTATAATATATTTAACTACTTACGTTCAATCTTATTTGCTTTGAAACATTTCCAGCTGTATTTGAAGCTATACATTCGTATATTCCCGTATCGTTCTTATCAACATTTTCAAATTCTATTTTATTCAATATTTGCTTATAGTTCGGTTTGCCGTCAACATGCGCCTTAAAACAAACATAGTGAAATTATTTTCCCTTCTTAGTCTTATTAAAGCACAACACCGATTTTCTGTAACTTCTTCTTAAGTTCCAGTGTATCACCGCATCACAACGTATTTACACTTTGTTTTTTTTTTTACAGAACAGGGGGCAAACGGGCAGGAGCTTCACCTGATGTTAAGCGATACCGCCGCCTATCGACACTCTCAATGACAGAGGACTCGCGAGTGCGTTGCCGGCCTTTTAAGAATTGGTACGATTTTTTTCTTGAAGTAAGGACTTTCTATGTCAGAAAGAGACGTATTTTGTGCATATTAACAGTATAATACAGGTTCTTTATGGAAATGGTTGACCATATAATTTATTGTGTTAATTAAAAGAAGTAACAGCTAAGTGATTTCAAGTCTGAGAGTCGATTGCCAAAATCATGTTTTAACTTAAAATATACAAATGTCGAACCCGTATACTGACATTTAATTCAAAAATAACCTTGTCTTTAAGAGGCAACATAAAATACACATATACCAATAATATAACTTACATTTTTGTAAATCTTCTTCCAGCTGTACTCTGGCGGTGGTGTTCCACTTGCGATACACTCCATCGAAATGGACGCTCCTTCATAAGCAATATTTTCAGGAACTGCTACAAGTTCGACTATTTCTGGCATTGTGACTACCTATGAATTTGTTTTCACTGATAAATAAAATATTGATTACGCTTACCCAATTATTTAAAAAAAATTAAATAACTTTTTCCATAGTAGCTCTAAAAGAACTCGTAGAAACAAAACAATGGATACCGAACATTAAGAACTACGTAGGCAAACAACAGACAAAAAGAAAAGATATATTGAAAACTGCAACAGACTTCTATAGAAACCTCTACTCACTAGAGACTGATAATACCTCACAGAATTCAGTAAATCTTGAACAAGACGAAGAAGACGTACCTAAATTTCTCCTTTCAGAAACGGAGCATGCTATCAAAAGCCTAAAAAATGGAAAAGCGCCTGGACCAGATCACATAACTAATGAGATGATCAAAGTATCATCAGCAGCACCAGGGAACCTAAGAAAACTTACTGAACTGTTCAACACCATACTAAAAACGAAATACATACCTTCTCAATGGACGAAGAACATAATTACACTGCTCCACAAAAAGCGTGACAGGAACATCATAGAAAACTATAGACCTATAAGCCTTATGTCCAACATGTATAAAGTTTTCTCCAAAATGATCCTGCGAAGAATAACGAAGGTAATGGATGAACAACAACCCATGGAACAAGCTGGATTCAGATCCGGATTCTCAACTGTAGATCATATACATGTTATAAAACAGCTAATACAAAAGTGCAAAGAATACGGAAAAGCACTATACATCGCTTTTGTAGACTACAGTAAAGCATTCGACTCTATAAAGCACGATTCCCTCTGGAGAGCCTTAATACAACAAGGTATACCAAAAAAATACATACGTATAATTAGAAATATATATACAAGTAGCACGGCTTATATCAAACTAGAAACAACGGGTGAAGAATTTCCTATAGCCAGGGGTGTGAGACAGGGCGATCCTTTGTCCCCAAAACTCTTCTCAGCCATTTTGGAGAGTTTATTTAGAAATTTGGAATGGGATAAGGTCGGCATAAACATAAACGGCAGACAACTGAACCACCTAAGATTCGCAGACAATTTAGTGATCATTTCAGATAACGCAAAGACGCTTCAAACTATGCTGCAACAGCTGACAGAAGCAAGCAAGATAGTTGGGCTTTCTATGAACAAATCTAAAACGAAAATAATGACAAATAGAGAAACTATTATGATACAAATAGGAGGAGATGCTATCGAATATGTAGACCACTACGTATATTTAGGGCAAATAATATCATTTCATGACCAAATGGATCTTGAGATAGAAAGAAGAGTGTCTAGCGCCTGGAAGAGATTTTGGTCACTCAAGGAAGTACTTAAAAGTAAAGACTTCCCAATAGTAGCTAAGAAAAAGGTGTTCAATCTATGTATCCTACCATGTGTTACATACGGCTGCGAGACTTGGGCTTTATCTCAGAAACATCTTCTAAAGTTGAGAACATGCCAAAGAGGAATGGAAAGAAGCATGGTGGGTGTAACACTGAGACATCGAAAAAGAGCAGAAGAGATCAGATCAACGACCAAAGTAGAAGACATTATAAAGAAAATAAGGCAGTTGAAATGGCGCTGGACTGGGCACATGACGAGAGATAGCAGGTTGAAATGGACAAAAATAATTACAGAATGGCAACCACGTGATGGAAAAAGGAAAAGAGGAAGACCGACCAAGAGATGGGCAGACGATATTAAGATAATAGGAGGCACAACTTGGACAAGAAGAGCTAATAACAGGAAACAATGGAAACAGCTGGAAGAGGCCTACGTGTCACAGGACACGCTGATTACCAAAAACGGGTCATATGATGCATTAGATTAAGTTTTATTTTATTTATGTGTTAGAATTAAGTGTTTTTTATGTAACTCAAATAATTGAATGGGTGTCAGCAATAAAGGCTAATTATTATTATTATTATTATTCCATAGTAGCTTATCATTTATAAAAATCAAACACACCATTACACGCAATACTGGTCTAGCGAGTTTGCTTATATTGCCGAAGTCGCGTACAAATTAATTGAAGAAGTCTATTAAGTATTAGGGTGTGCAATTATTTAATCAATTACCGTCTAAAATGCGTAATATTAGCTCGTCTAACCAATTCAAAAGGAGCCTATGATATTATTAGTACTGAAATGATAAAGAAAAATATGTTTACTTCTTGGTTTTAATTGTTGATACGTAAATATACCCATCATTACCAAATTTATTAAAACCCACTGGATAGATGGTCTTAGCATACTTACCAAAAACTTAAAATATATGAAAAATAATTAAATTCTATTTTATAATGCTATACCTCAACTTTAATGTCGATGGCAACTTCTTCGCCAGTTTCGTAGTCAGCAGCTACGCATTTGTACACGCCGTTGTCTTCTATACTGATATTGTGTATTAATAATCCTTCTGATGATATCTCGTACTTATTATCATCTGTTATCTGTTTAGGAAAACAATAAATCTATGAGAGACAATTAACACTCTAATAAAACACTTTAGTATTCGTTATAAAAATCGTATTAGTTGAAAGTTGATATTACATCTACGAAGTCTGTATAAGAAAAAGCTTTATTACGTAATAAAAAAGGATGTATACTTAAAAGAGAAGCCCTAGGCCTCACACTAGGATTCCCTGTGACGTGGGCTGGTCTCTTCCATTTGACATATCAGATCGATCTTTTTACAACTATTTTTAAATTCATCAATTTCAGAAGTTTTTCATAGATAGCGGTTTTTCATTGTACCAGGAATAATTTGTTTCAAATGTCTGACAACTTAACTAGTTCGTCAATGCAAAGTATTTCGCGTCATATACGCGAAATAATGTTTCGAAAATGTCAAAATTCATTCTTAACACATTACAAATTTACTCTTTAGTATTTTATTTTGGTATTCATACTCTCAAAAAATGTCATCAACTATAATAATTGAAGGTTATTTTTGAAATTACTATTAGAATTATAACTAACTAAATTTTAAACGTTTAAGCGCTGAAGTAATTGGATTAATATTGTTCAAAAAGCAGCTTGTATGTTAAACTGTTTTCGCGCTGTAATGCTTGGCCCCGTTAATGTCGGTTTTAAATGTATGTACCAAATACTAAAAAAGGAACAAGGTATTCTTGCCTTGTATCGTATTATATATCAAATATTTAAAAACTTTCTTTAAAAAGGGATTGTGAAAAAGTCATTATATAAATATTATATAACTAGATTAGTCTATCCACCAACTTTGTTTTTGTTCCCTATGGAATAGAGACTCTTGAGCCGTGGGGTTCAAGTGCATAAGCGCTAATTAAAGATTAAAGTGTATGTGTATCTGGTAGATAGTACTGGTGCCCCCATAGCTGGTGCCAGCATTTAAGGTACACTGTCACAGGGACCAAACATTTAAATTTTTTTTGAATTTTCTATTTAACAATTTTTAATTATTATCATTACTATATAGATTAAGAATATTATAACAACTGTATATTTGTGTGTGGGAAAAAACTAAGTAGATATATATAATCAAATCGGCTACATAGAAAAACGTTAGCATAAAGACAGAATTACAGCTGTAATTAAGAGTATCTTATACATGAGATTGGCTTACCTCAATAGGTTCGAAGTTGTCTTTGTGCCAACTAATTAAGGGATTAATATCACCTTTGGCTTCACATGTTATTAGTGCATCGCTGCCATTAATGACATACTGCGTCTCTTTGGTGTTGATGAAGTATGGTGCTTCTGTAATTGCAAATTTAATATATTGCACATTTGCAAGCTTTTTTATGTATTTCGTTTTTAATTTGTTTTGTGAATTGTATCTTAACATATAAAAAGTACATAACCAATAAATTGCTGGGTTAAAGTTTTTAGTGTTTTTGAACCTTTCAGTAGTTCTAGATTAACGATAGGATAGCATCTATGAACCATTTTTCATACTCCTTACGGTATTTTAGCTTTCTGTGTCACATATTAATCTTATGTACTGTTTTTGGTTTAACTCATATAGTAAAAATTATACCCTTGGGCTCGCCTAAGAATAAGATAAGAAAGAATGAGAAGGAATTCGTAAAGTGGCTTTTTGGCCATGGGCGACGATTTTTATTTAAAATCAAATGAGAATTCCGTCCGTTTGCCCCCTATATTTACTAGAAGAGAAGCTTTGCTCTATTGGTGAAGCGTGTTTTTTATAGAACAGGGGGCAAACGGGCAGGAGGCTCATCTGATCTTAAGTGATACCGCCCCAGAGGATCACTTCCAGAGGGCTCGCGAGTGCGTTGTCGGCCTTTTAAGAATTTTTACGCTATTTTCTTGAAGGCCCCAAAGTCGAATTGGTTTGGAAATACTTCAGTGGCAGCTGGTTCCACATAGTGGTGGTGCGTGGCAGGAACTGGCATAGAAATCGCTCGGTTCTGGACGCTTAATAATGATACGGGTGGAATTTCGTATTCTGCCTCGACGTATTTGAGTAATTTACACTTGCTATGAAACTAAACGTGAGGTAATGAAATGCCGTAGACGTAATATTTGAAGATCATTCACGAAGTCTGATCACCTGCTTGCCTATAAATAAAACATTAGCAAATAGAAACGATAATTTGAACTATGATTTATGTATGTACCTATAGCACAACTGTCTTCAGTCTACCCTATTGTTCTAGACAGCTGGGTAAGTACCATGTGCTCTGAAGGACTAATTAACATTATTATATTTCAAGCTATTAATATTTATGTACGTACCATATGCTTGGACGTCATATGTGTGTACATAATGAGTCTCGTTATATACAGTGAAACACTTGTATTCACCGGATGATGACTTGCTCATGTTTGTTATGTACAAACTATTTGTAAGGTCGTCCCACCATTCAGTGTATACGTTCGATTTTGTACCTGGTCTTGTGGAAATAATTATTAAAATAAAACTAGTAATCACGTTTCAATTTAAAGACAATTATTCTATTAAGTATAAGTAAGAATAGTAAGGTTGATAATTTAAAAAAAAATATTTTTTATGAGCATCAAATTTAGTTAATCGAGGATAATAATTTCCTGGTAAGGGCGTGATATCAGATGAACATTCAGGCATTTTTAATTAATAATTTTGTAGATATTACTAAACTATACTATTCCCCGCTTCGCCATCAGTTATATAGCCTCGACAGCACAAAAATATTTTTAAAATTAAACCACTACTTTATATTATTGTAATAATTTTAATAGTTCTGTTAGCTATTATCTTAAATTAATAAATTAAATTGAATGAATATAGTTATTACCCCGGTGGCATTATTTCCTTATCATTAGGACCAAACCATTTAAGAATAACAACTGAAGGTGGTCGCTCATCACATCGGCATTCCATATAAAAAGAACTTCCAGTTTTTAATCTGTATTCATGGTTTTGATTACCAATAAAGCAGGTACTGCATTCTGAAACAATGAACATAATATTTAACAAGTTTGCTTAGAGAAAACAAAATAAAAATATTTTAACCAGCAGTGTTGGCCTAGTGGCTTCAGCGTGCGACTCTACTTGAACTAGAACAATGAAGGAAAATATCGTGAGTAATCCGGCATTAGACCCAAAATGGTGGACGGTGTGTGTCAGTCTGATCATATCTATAAGAATAAACAAATGATCATGAAGCAGATACAGAAATCTTAGGCCTAGACCTAAAAAGGTTGTAGTGCAACTGATTTATTTTAGAAATACTTTAACTGTATGCATATTTATTTCTAATGAATCACACCTGTTAATAATTGGAATTTAGTTAATTTTTCATATAAATAAATGGTAAAGAACGCTATTTGTAACCAACAATCGTAGTAGTACCTAATGTATATGAACAATCGTTGACTGTACTATTAACAGAAGATAATACTTATATAATTCAACAATTCATTAACTCCGTAAATAATTATTATTACCATAATAATACCGGATCTACGACGCAAAACATCATAAATTATAACTAAGACAAATTTGTTGGTAATTCTAGAATCTAAATGAATGATGGTAGGAGATTTGTTTCGCGAATCTTATTTAAGTTGTGCTCAAGTTGGCAATATTATCCCTCTGACGTCACAAAGTTTTGTATGAAGTAATTTAATGCTCATCTCGACTTTCAAGATTAATAATAGCATAAATCAGTGATCTCGTTGAAGATTCCGTTTCTATTTCGGAGTCTTTAATCATTGGGAAACATCAAGTGACAATAAATTCAGTTATATATCCTTTAGTTGTATGATGATATTATTTTTAGACATACATAAGACATAGACATAACATTTATTACAAACAAAAACACACACACATATAAACACACAAAACAACAATAATCAAAGAAAAAATAAAATTAGAGATATCAAAAACAATAAAAAACAAATTTTAATTCCCTTTTCCCATTCGGTTCGTTTCTGCGTGTGTGCTGTAGCTGTAATTGGCCCTGGCTCAGCATGCTGAGGAGCTGAATGTTTCACAGCGCTGGTCATTCTGCCAGAGACCACAGCTAGTGCAGTAATAAATACTTAGTAGAAGAAAAAAAAGTATTAACAAAAATATATTTTTTTCGAATTCAATTTCTAATACATATTTCCCTTTCCGTTCATTTTTTTTAGAGCTTGATTTCTTAACGATTTAGAAGCGTTTTTTAAATCTTGATGCTAAGAAAGGAATCTAATTTAAAGTTATTAGTTTGTACCGATGTTTTTCGGGCATATATATATAAGTGTAATTCTAATTATGAAATTTGGATCTTCTATAAAACTCATCAGAATTGGGTAGCTGATTTAAATATCGAAATTAAGTCATAATGGATAATAAAAATGTAAGCAAAATCACTAAATTAGACTCTAGAGGTCTATCGATCGCAACATTAATGCGATTCCCATATAAATTGTCAAACTTACAGTGGTCAATTGAACGCCTAATCAAGAGAGACGGGCGTAATGTAATCAATCAAATTAGTGCTATCGACTAAAACCACATCGAAGGGACGTCTAATGGACAATCTTATAAATAGGTATACGCACGTTGCATTTTGATTTTATTATGTACTAGCAGCTTGTCGTGTCTACGAACGGCTAGACATTTATAAAAATATAAATAAATTAAATATAATTAATGTATATAACTTTGAAAATAAGAAGACAAAAGTGGAAAAGGGCAGGCCACATGATCAGGGGAAAGGACAAATGGAGTAAAATAATCACACAATGGTACCCAAGAGATGGAAAGAGAAAGAGAGGTAGACCACAAAAAAGGTGGACGACGACATTATACAAGTCGCGGGAACAACATGGGGTAGAGTGGCCATAGAAAGGCCAGAATGGAGAAGGTTGGAGGAGGCCTTTGCCACCTGGCAAACGGACACGCAAAAGTGGAACAAAAGAACAATCTACGAAAAATAAAGAAAAAATACTGTCATGTCCGAAAAGAGGCTATAATAATAATAATATAATTAAATATGGACAATAGCGCAGACATTAGCTTCCATAAATAAGTGTAAAAACGTCTAACCAGTTTATAACCATTACTACTTATGGTTCATTCGATTCGCCAATACTACTAGATCTACAAATTACTATTTAATAGTCTGTAATAATAGTAATTTTATAGCCATTATTATTAATGTCAGAGCAATGGCGTTAGTGTTAGCTGCCATTGTCATTATAATTTAATAACTAAAAAGTCATATTAGTTCAAAACCGTTAATACTAGTGGGTTATTTGATTTGTTAATGTTGCCAGATCTATAAATTAACGTATTATTCAATGGTCGTTAATAATAGTGACTCCATAGTTATTATAATAATTAAAAATGTATCATACATTTACAGCTTTAAAACTTAATGTCAATAGTAAAGTAATCATTTGACACTCGTCTCTACGAGTGCCGTTTGAATTTGTAGTCCATTCGGGGTCGGTCGCAGATCGAGTACCTACACGAAGTGTCATGAAACTTGTTTATCATAATTTCGCTGCTGTAATACCAGGCAGTGGTTGGTGCGGTGCTTAGTTCAATTGAGCGGTCGAATCAAGCAGAAGCCTTTAAAGAGTTGACTGTAATGTCGAAATTAAACGGCTGATGCAAACAAATTTTTGACAGCAATGCTGACGTCATTATCTTCAATAATTTATCAGCAGGTCCTGTTTTTGTTTTTTGTCTTCAAAATGTACGCGTCAAATCTTAGCAGCTATGCAGCTTGCCTATAAAATTATAGGACAACACCTTTTCAATGGTCCAGCTGAATAATAATACTAACGCATATTTGAGTACAAAAACACCTTTAAATGTATCAGTAAAACAATATATAATGCTTAATTTTTAAGACTGTGATATGCTTATTATAGCTTATATAATTAATACAGCAATATTAATATTTTTTTAGAATTCAAAGAGGTTCAGAGTAGAATATGATAGTACTATTTCATGCATCTGATTTAATTACAAATTATATTTACATAAACCCTAAAACTGTTTATGCAAAACAAACATAATTATGAGTTAACTTTGAATCTATATTTGCAGTTTCATATGCAAGCCACCTGTAACGCATAAAAATAATTTATGTCTCATTCTCGATCGGTATGAAGACGCTTTGATCTTTGGCCTCGTATTTCTGAAAACGCTGACAATACTAAACCACATCCGCTTAACCCGATTAACACACAACAGTTTTAACATATGAAACTGTCATCTTCAATGTAGAAGTAAAAAGATGGTTTTTGTAATTTTTATTGTATTTTTTATTTTCGTTGATTAAAATCGCGTGGTTACCGTGGACGTATTCCACGGTTGCCAATGAGTTATTCCAAATCGTTTCTATATGCGTTTATATGACCTATATTTCTAGTATATTTTTCATTTAACAATTTCAATCCAATTATAGTTAATTGAATGGAAATGTTGGTTCAAGGAATTGGTTCTTTGTTCTATCGAGATTTAATTTAAATATATACACCAAGACAAAATCATGAGTAAGAGTTAAATAAAAAGTAGCTAACTAAACTACTATAATAATCATTTATTTCCAAAGAAAGTGATACATTTAGATTGATTAATTCTAAAAAAGCGCACATTCAGCTATATTAAACTAGCAAATCTCATATTAACTATCATAATGTCTTAATAATAAGAACAGTTAAGTTATTTCCAATTGTTGTCAAAAGTTATGGCCTAAATGCTATCCGAGGCTTTAAAGGCACATTGCCTTTAAAAATGTCATCACCTGTTGTCCTGCATGATATTTTAAGCGATTAGGATATTAAACAAAGTATGAAAGTACCGACTGCCATGTCATCCGGGCTGATTTGTGATTCTAAACCATCCAGGGTTCCACCCAAACGCATACAAATAAAATCATTCAAATCGGTCCAGCCGTTTAAGAGGAGTTCAATGGCATACACACGTACAGTACAATTATATACCTATATGAGTAAGCTATCCTATCTTTTAAGTTTGATCAAACTGCATACGGTGTGCAATTTGATTGAAAACGGTAAAGTCGTTTAGGAGTCCATAGCGGACAAACAACGTGACGCGTAATTTAGATATATTAAGATGATATCACAAAATCTCTTTCCCATCTATAGCTTATACATAAAAGGTTGACTAACGCATCTATGCGTGGAGAAGCCCTCAATGTTTGGTACATCCGTGAATAATTTTGTTCCATTTCCACGCATTGAAAAGAATAAATTACACAAACGTGTCCAAATTAACACAACTAGGTCAATGTTTTGGCTTTTAAACAGAAATGGTAATCACACAAACATTACGTCATTCAGTTACGTGGAATACATATTTATAATTTATTATAGCATTTGAACTTATAGATAGATGGTCTTTCTATATGCGTAACATACTCGTTCATAACATTCGCGTCGAAAGAAACCGTCGTGAAGAAACTGATACATTTTACATCTACAAAATGACGTCAACCATGAGCTCTTATTGCGAGCCTATTGACAACCTACAACTGATATGCATCGCTTTTTCATACCATGACGTCGCGACTGAACTAAAATTCGTCCGTTTCGCCTTCCAACTATGACGGAATGAGCGCTTCTACAAAGTTACTTTTTGTTCAACATTTTTGTATCGAAGTGTCCAAATAATATTTTTAATCATATAAAACTCACTATTTTAATTAAAACTTGTTCACAAAATAAGATTACTATGTCAATAGGTCAAATGAAATCTATTAATAATAGAACTTACCAAATATATGTCTTTTTTTAAATTGAAATATTTCATTTCTGCATATACGGATCAGTACGTAGTAGGAACATAATTAATAACTCAAACCAGATTAAAGTAGCTACAATCTGACAAATTGCACTGACATCATCGTATATAATCGTAGGACTTTCAAGGACTCTGGTTTTACGAGAATGTTAATGATATAACACTTAATAGGATTTATGTATTGTACCGGACTTTAT